TTAAGTCTTTTGACCTGAGATTAGACTACGCTCATCCCTATAGCTAAACTAAACCTTCTGAGATGATGACACTATTCAAATGATGCTTCGTGCTGTGATGACTGCTGTCAGCCATGCGTCAGGTGGTAAAACTCTTGTCACTGTGTTAAAAGGTTGTAAGTTTAACCTCAACCCTCCTCATTCTTCTGTTGACACTGGTTCAGTGCAGATCACAATACCCACAAAATTAAGTATCTCACAGGACATCACTGCAAGAGTTCCTCAAGGTAGGTGACCTTGGCCCAACCATCTTCAGTGGCTTCACCAGTGACCCTCCTTCTGCTAGAAGGTCATTTGACCCATTCTGTCGACACTGGCTCCCTGAACATTTCAATTTATTGTCACTCCCCTTTCCCCATAACCATAAACATTAGGTAATCATTTAAACAGAAACAATGCTCCTTTGAACATCTCAATTGAATCTGCCTTCACCACACTTCAAGGAAGTATATCCAAGAACCTAACAACTTGGAGTGAAAAAGATTTCTCTCACCTCGTATTTGCTTATTTTGCAAAAAAATTCATCATTATGCCTTCTGATTTTTGATTGGTTATGAATGGGAACAGTTTCTCTTCATCTATTCTGTTCAGATCCCTCATGATCTTGAAAACTTCAATCAAATCTTAGCTCTCCAAGGAAAACAGTCTCGAATTTCTACTCTTGCCACATAAATAAAACGTCATATTCCAGGAATCCTCTTCAACACTCTGTCACATCCTTCCTACACCCAGAACTGTACATAATACTCCAGCTGATGTCTAACTAGTATTTTAAGTTCATCATAATCTCCCTGCTCTTTACTTTATGTCCCTATGAATAAAGCATAAGATATCGTATGCATTATACCTACCCCCTCAATCTATCCTGACTACTTAAATGGGTTATGCCCATATATCAACAGGTCTTTCTGCTCCCCTACAAGCTTTACAATAGTACCCTTTATTTTATACTGTCTCTCCATGCTCTTTGTACCGAATATCTGACACTTTCTTGCAATGCATTTCATTTGTCACCTATCTTCACGGTGTCAATAATTTTTTGAAGTTCTACATTATCCTGGTTATAGTTTATGATGCTTCCAGGTTTTGTGTCATCCAGTGTTTGAATTTGTCCCCATCACACAGATCTAGATAACTTCATATACAACAGGAAATGTAAGGGTTTCAGTACTGCCCTGAGGGAACTCCAGTACAAGTCATCTTCTAGTTCAAAAAATACCCATTAATCATGGCCATTTCCCAGCCCTCAGCAAATTTTCTATCCACATTGCTACTGCCTCTTTTATTCCGTGTCCTATTGCTTTCCTCACAGCAGTATTTTTGGAAATCCGTTATATAGCATCCAATGCCTTGCCCTTATAACCCTCTAGGACATAGAATATAGAACAGTACAGGCCTTTGGCCCACGATGTTGTGCAGACCTATTCTCCTACTCTAAGTTCAAGCTACCCTGTATACTCTACATTTTACTATCATCCATGCGCCTATCCAAGAGGTTGCTTAAAAGTCTCTAAAGTATCTGAGTCCACTATCACTGCCGGCAGCGCATTCCACATGCCCACCACTCTCTGTGTAAAGAACTTACCTCTGAGATCTCCCCTATACCTTCCTTCAATCACCTTAAAATTATGCCCCTCATAATTCTCGTTTCCACCCTGGGAAGAAGTCTCTGGCTGTCCACTCTATGCCTCTCATCATCTTGTACACCTTGATCAAGTCACCTCTCATCCTTCTTCGCTCCAACGAAAAAAGCCCTAGCTCCCTCAACCTTTCCTCATAAGACCTGCCCTCCAGTCCAGGCAGCATTCTGGTAAATCTCCTCTGCACCCTCTCTAAAGCTTCCACATCCTTCCTATAATGAGGCGACCAGAACTGAACACAATATTCCAAATGTGGTCTAACCAGGGTTTTATAGAGCTGCAGCATAACCTCGCGGCTCTTAAACTCAATTCCCCTGCCAATGAAAGCCAATGGATACGCCTTCTTAACAACCCTATCAACTTGGGTAGCAACTTTCAGGGATCTATGGACGTGGGCACCAAGATCCCTCTATTCCTCCACACTGCCAAGAATGTTGCCATTAACCCTGTATTCTGCATTCAAATTTGACCTTCCAAAATGAATCACTTCACACTTTTCTGGGTTGAATTCCATCTGTCCCTTCTTTGCCCAGCTCTGCATCCTATCAATGTCCCGTTGCAACCTACAACAGCCCTCCATGCTATCCACAACTCCACCAACCTTCATGTCATTGGCAAACTTATTAATCCACCCAAGTCATGTATAAAGATCACAAAGAGCAGGGGTCCCAGAACAGATCCCGGTGGAACACCACTAGTCACTGAGCTCCAAGCTGAATACTTTCCATCTACTACCACGCTCTGTCTTCTATTGGACAGCCAATTCTGTGTCCAGACTGCCAAATTTCCCTGAATCCCATGCCTCCTTACTTTCTGAATGAGCCTACCATGGGGAACCTTATCAAATGCCTTGCTAAAATCCATATACACCACATCCACTACTCTACCTTGAATGCGTTTTGTCACATCCTCAATGAATTCAATGAGGCTTGTGAGGCATGACCTGCCCCTCACAAAGCTATGCTGACTATTTCTAATCATAAATACTATCCTCTCCAATAATTTGCCCACCACAGAAGACAGACTGACTGGTCTGTAATTCTCAGGATTATCCCTATTCCCTTTCTTGAACAAGGGAATAACATTTGCCACCCTCCAATCATCTGGTACTACTCCAGTGGACAGTGAGGACGCAAAGTCCATCGCCAAGGGCACAGCAATCACTTCCCTTGCTTCCCGTAGTAACCTTGGTCATATCCCGTCTGGCCCAGGAGACTTATCTATCCTCACATTTTCAAAATTTCTACCACATCCTCCTTCCAAACATCAACCTGTTTACCTCTTCAAAAAAAAAAAAAAAAAATTCCAGCAGGTTCGATACTATCCTAACAAATTCATGTCAATTCTTCTGAACGACTTTGAATTCTATCACAAATAATTGTTTATAGTTAGACTAGAAATTAAACTGACTGGTCTCTAATTATGGGGCCAATCTTTACAACCTCATTTGAGAAAGGAGATAATATTTGTAATTCTCCAATCCTCCGGCACCACTCCCAAATCCAGAGAAAATATGAGGAATTACTGCAATGCCTCTGCAATTTCCATTCCCACTACTTTCAACATCATTGGAAGACTCACAGAAAATAAGAAACTAGGACGGGCACTGTGATACACTGACACCACATGGACCCAGTGGTTCAAGGTGCCTGCTCACTGCTAACTTCTCCAGGGCAATTAGGGATGGACAACAGATGCTGACCTTGCCTGCGATGCGCACATTCCATAATGTCTTTAGATCCAATTAACAACAATTCTATAAAACAGTATCTTGAAACCACGAAGTTAAAAATTAGGTAGAATGGAGTGATAACTACTTACAAAGGCTGCAATTCCTAAGCAATGTAGAAATTTCAAAGTTCAACAGAACTGAGTTGGGGGAGCTGGATACACTGCAGAACACATGGGTAGGTGAACTGACCTGGATTCTAGGAGTCGATCAGCCCACTGTCATCTAACAGTACAAAACAGCACATTCACAGCCACCTGGAATGGCAGCAAGTGGCAGGAATCATCCAGGTTTGTCATCCTCAAATCCGTTAAGTATGGACAATAGATGCTAGTCTAGCCAGTAATGACCACATTATTTGAAAAAATAAAATCTTGACCTAATTGAAAGCTATTATTCAACAAATATCTTGAAACATAGCATTGAATGCTGGTGAATCTGAAAGAAATGCATACCAGAGTCTGGCACAATGAAGCAAACAACTGAATAGTAGGTACGGCTGATAGGTACTCTTCTCATCTTGTAGCAGATTGGTAGTGTCCCCACCTCTGGACAAGAGGGGCGTAGATTGATACCCTGCCTGCTCCAGAGGTGTATAATAATATTTGTGAACAGGTTAATTAGAAAAATAGGTTAAGTAAAAAAACAATATATTTGTCCTGGGAAGGGCTATTTTGGTGCAGTGATAATGTTCTCATCTCTGGACCAGAAGGCCTTGGTTCAAGACCCACTTGCTCCTTAAGTGTGTCACGACATCTCCGAATAAGATGATTACAACATATGTATATGTCCTGGGGCGTTGGGTCTTAAGACGCAGTGGCAGTGCGCCTACCTCTGAACAAAGAGGCTGAGGGTCAAATACTATCTATTCCAGAGGTATGTAAAAACATCTGAGATCTCTATCACTGTTTTAAATGTTTTTAAATTCTGTTCTTTGAGTGCTTCAGTTTATTTTCCTTAGCTCTCTTTTCATCCTGGTAAAACCCATTTATTATTTTGATTTTAGTCTTTACTGCGAACATCAATATGTTACGATCATTATTGTTTCAATGCTCTCCATGTCCCCTTATCTGTTCTGGTTTATTTCTAATTATTAGGAAAGGAGGACTGCATGATCTATTAGGACTTTTTATATGGTAGATAAGAAATGAGGCCAACACTTTATAAAAGCACAATTTCCTACATTCCTTTTCGTACTACTTTCCAGTTTATTTGAAGCCAGTTAAAATGTGTCATGAATGTCCTTTACTCATTTCATATTGCCAGTCACATGACTCCTTCCGCCACATCCAAATTTGCACATAGTATCTACACTTTGGCCTTGATCTAGAAAAGCACACAAAAGAATTCCCCAATCTGAGTCAGGAGCCATAGATACCAGGATCTTGCATTGAAAGACTGGATAGAAACAGTTTACATTACCTACTGATACCCTTTGCTTATCCACAGATAGACTTCAAGTAATGACTTGCATATCAGCACTGGGGTAACCAAACTGTCAGCTCTTAGCTATAGGTTAGGTGTGATAACTCCTCGGGTTATCAGAACAAGCAAAGAACAAAGTTGCAATTTTGCCTACTCTTTTTTAATACCTGCTTCCTCGCCTCTGTGCACTGACTGGAGAGGCTGACCATGTTGTCCACCGCAAACGCTCAAACTCCTCATACTTCGCGTGTCGAGCTGCAAATATTGCATCTGAAAAATCCTCCATCTAAAATAGATGCAATATGTTAACATTATTAAAACTGTTCAGATGGACTGAACAATGCACAGGTTTAGTTTTGTAATGTGGTTACAAAGTGCTACCTCCTCGTGGTCTTCTTCACGGAGTCTGTGATTTTTAAAATCAGCTTTTACATCCACAACACGCCAACTAGAAGTGGGGAAAAGGAAAAATATTACGACAACATGAATTTGGATGCTTCACTTTTTCTACCTTTTAATGAGAAAGTGCCCAGAATACTCACTCAATATGAGAGATAGCAAACAGCATTCCTGCTCACAGCATCAACATTTACCTCACACCAACCACAAGAAAATGCTTACAACAGCTGCAATAAGTCTACCAACTACTACCTAGAATACAGTGTTTATGCAAAGCAGAGCATGTATGCAGGTGATAGGTACAACATTTGTAGAGGCCAACACAATGCATATCCATGTTTCTTTGGCATGGCAGCATATTTCTACACACTGTCACATATTGCTCCAAGTACAAAGCTTAACCTTTGAAAATCAAAATTTTCTGGAAATTTGGAAATACTGTACTCCCCAAAATACTACACATAAATGATTCGCTCCACTGTGCCATTTGCAGATTTGATTAGCCAAAGTCTGCATCAACAACACTAAACTATCTGCTGAATCACTGTTACATGACCTAAGGATGTTGACAGATCCTGAAAACATACCTTGGTGTCAGGATTTCCTTGTACTGAAGCTTCTCTACACGAGTTGTTGCAGCAACTGACATTGGGATCACAATATTGTTTATGTCAAAGGAATTTTCTGTCCTTTTCCTCCTGGCTGTCTGCTGTTATAAGAGCAAAAAGTTAAAACGGGGCCTTGTAATGTGCCTCAGTCTATATGAATGTTCAACAGCACATTAGCTTCCAGAATAGGGTTTCATCAAGAGTTTACATTTGAAGTAAATTTTCCTGAAGGAAGGCTGAAGATGAAAGGGGAGATTAACTTCTACTTTACCAAAATGAGGATGTTTTGTGTTGGGACAATGGTAAACAGTTTCTCAGTTTACTTCTCCGCAGTGCTTGTGCTGATGAGAAGAAGCCAAGTAATATGTACATGATAGATTTCCCTTCACTTCACTATGATAGTGTCAGAACAGGAAAACCCTGCTCCTTTGTGAAGTTTTGGGAACGTGACAGTGTCCCAGTAAGTGACAGCATCTTGAAGAAGAAAATATATTAGATTCATAATTTCCAAGAATAATTTCCTTGCGAACTTGCAGACCAATAATAACCGGACTGGCAAAACTCAAAACCCTCTTCGTTTGGGACTATTTTCAGCCAACTGGCTGGGGTGTGGAGGCACTCTTGCCATTAATCCAGGCCCTGCTCTGAAGTAAGATTTTTTTATTCCAGTGTTGGGATTTGGACATTGTTGGCATTTATTGAAAATCCTACTTAATTACTGTTGAGATAGTGATTTTGAGCTGTTTTCTTAGAGTAGAGTAGCCTGAGGTGAGAAACTTCCCTCAGTGCTGTTGGGTAAGGAGGTCTAGGATTCTGGACCAGGAACAACGAAGACATACATCCAACTCAAGAACACTGGAAGTGTTACTGTACACATGTACCTGCTATTCTTGAAAGTTGTCAGGTCTGTCATTTTGCTAGATGACACATATTGCAACCACAGTGCCTGGTGGTATTGGGAGTGAAGATTTAAGGCGGTGGACTGAGTGCTAATTAAGCAGATTGCTTTGGTTTGAACGGCAGCGAGCCTTTTCAGTGTTCTTGAATCGCACACATCCAGTGTAGTATATGCCATAACTTTTACTCGTGCCCCATATATGGTGACATGGCTTTGAAACATCAGGAGGTGAATAGACTTGCTGCCAACATCCAGCCTGCTCTTGTAACCACAGTATTTATGTGGCAGATATTGTTAATTTTCTGTCAATGACGACTGATAGGGTGTTAATTATGGGGGAAATTATTGATGGCAATGCAACTGAATGTCAAAAGGTGGTGATTACAGACTCTGGTTTGTTGGAGATGGTCACTGCCTAGCATTTGAGTGACATCAACAACAGTTAGCACTTAACAGCCTAAGCCCGCATTTTGGCCAGGTCTAGTTGCATGCAAATAGAGACTGTATCATTATTTGCAAATTGAAGTAAACACTGTGCAATTACCAGCAACCATCTCATTTTGAACTTTTACTTGGAGGAGGGGACCAGATGAAGTGTATGCTAGGTTGTTCAGTAAGGCAAGGGAGAAAATGGCAGGGATACTGGCAATAATTTTTAATTCCTTTTTGGTGACAGGGGAGGTGGCAGAGGACTGGAGGACAGCCAACGCAGTATTGTTATTCAAAAAGGGAACAAGGGTTAAAGCAGAAGCTACAGAATTGTCAGTGAATCTCAGTGGTGGGAAAACTATTGGAAGCAATTCTGAGGGATAGAATTCCTCTGCATTTGGAGAGACAGGAATTAATCAAGAATATGAATTTGTCAAGGGGACAAGCTGGTTGAAAAATTCAGTCAAGTTGGTCAAAGAGTGACAAGGTGTGTAGACAAGTCCATGCATTTGATGTAGTCTACTTGGACTTCAAGAAAGGCTTTTTTGGGAGACTGATAGAGAAGCTGAGAACCCATAGGATCCTAGGAAATTTGACAAATTGGATCCACAATTGGCCTCAAGTGGCAAGAAGCAAAGGGTGATGGTCACGGGCTGATTTTGTGACTGGAAGCCTGTGACCAATAGAGTTCTGCAGGGATCAGTGTCGGTGCCCTTGCTAATTGCGGTGAATATATAAGTGATTTAGACTTGAATGTAGGAGGGTTGATCAATAAATTCGTGAATGATACAAAAATCAGTGGGATGGTAAACAGACAGGAGGATAACCTTAGAAATAAATCAGAATATAGACAGGCTGGTCAGATGGACTGATCAATGATAAATGGAATTCAATCTGGATAAGTGAGAGGTGATGCACTTGGACATGACAAACAAGACAAGGGAATAGAAAATGAACAACAGATCCTGGGAAGCACCGAGGATTAGAAGGACTTTGATGTGCATGTGCATGTGCATCAGTCCCTTAAGGGAGCAGGCAGGTGGATAAAATGGTCAAAAACACACACGAGATACCTGCCTTTATTAGCCAAGGCACAAGGATTAAGAGCAGAGAGGATATGCAGGTACTGTTTAAAAAAAACAGATTAGGTTACAGCTGGACTATTGAAATCGACATTACAGGAGGGATGTGATTACACTGGAGAGGATGCAGAGGAGATTTACTAGAATGTTTCCTGGACTGGAGAGTTTTAGTTATGAAGAGAGGTTGGAAAGACTGAGGTTATTTTCCTGAGGCTGAGAGTTTGGTAATCATGCAACTGAACTGATGCAGAATTTTAAACTAAGAGATTTTAATAAGTAAAAATAAATAGCATTTTGACTGGGAATTACATTGACATCGCTTGCGTCTCTTATTGCATGCAACTCCAGCTGGAAGAATAAGACTGTGAACACTTCCGAGACATAAAATGATTATTGAAAATGGGAATTGTTCTGCTATTAGCACTGAAACTCCACACTTTCAGCACAAAATTTCAAGAAAAAACCAAATACTTGACTTTGCTCCTTGCTATAACATGAACCATGTGGTCACAAATTTCCCTTACACTGTGTAAATCATTGTTTTGCAGTTTCTTTTAATTCTGTATTCTCCTTACCAATGCAGATGCCACACTCTGTGTGTTGGTTGTGGTTGGTGCAGAGCTCTCAGATGAAGTGGACAATTGCCGCAGCAATGGGCTATGAACTGTGTTGTGAGAGCCAATTGTGGAACTGTAAGAACTCCCCATGTCTGACAGGGCCTGTCTTGCTGAAAGAATCAAAAGCAAAAATTCCAAACAACTTAGCATTCAAGTGCAAATGCTGTTATTTTAACACTCGATTAACACATGAAGCAATTTACTGACATCTTGTATATAAAAAGGTTCTAGGGCAGTGTCACTTCATACAGAGCAACATAGTCAATGTGGTCACACACACCATCCATCACTGGGATCAACTTACTCAGCCGGTACAACAATCCAAAGAGGTACAGTGGTTAGAAACTGTGCTTCTCCCCCACTTCTGATCATGAAGCCTACGTAGGCCTGTCAACCGAAACCTATTTACTCTGTTATTTTTTTCCCCATTTGCTTTTTGCAGCCTGGATGTTGGGCAACAGCTGTTCCGTGTTGTTCCTCCCAGAATGATACAGCACAGAAGGATGTCATTTGGACCATTGTGCGCCTATCAACTCTTTGGCGGAGATTTCCAATAGAACCCACTCTCCTGCTCTTTCCCCGTGCCCTGAAAATGTTTATTTCCTGTACTTTACAAATTCTTTTTCTGAAAGTCAACATTAAATTTGTCTAAGAGATAGTAGGAACTGCCGATGCAGGAGAATCTGAGATAATAAGGTGTAGAGCTGGATGAACACAGCAGGCCAAGCAGCATCAGAGGAGCAGGAAAGCTGACATTTTGGGTCGAGACACTTCTTCAGAAATGGGGGAAGGGGATTCTGAAATAAATAGGGAGAGAGGGGGAGGCGGATAGAAGATGGATAAAGGAGAAGATAGGTGGAGAGGAGACAGATAGGTCAAAGAGGTGGGGTTGGAGCCAGTAAAGGTGAATGTAGGTGGGGAGTTAAGGAGGGGATAGGTCGGTCCAGGGAGAACGGAGAGGTCAAGGAGGCGGGATGAGGTTAGTGGGTAGGAGATGGGGGTGGGGCTTGAGGTGGGAGGAATGGTTAGGGAGGCGGGGATGAGCTGGGCTGGTTTTGGAATGCGGTTGGGGAGGGGAGATTTTGAAGCTTGTGAAGTCTACGTTGATACGCTTGGGCTGCAGGGTTCCCAAGCGAAATATGAGATGCTGTTCCTGCAACTTTCGGGTGGCATCATTGTGGCAATGCAGGAGGCCCAGGATGGACATGTCGTCCAAGGAGTGGGAGGGGGAGTTGAAATGGTTCGCGACTGGGAGGTGTAGTGGTTTGTTGCGAACCGAGCGTAGGTGTTCCGCAAAGCGGTCCCCAAGCCTCCGCTTGGTTTCCCCGATGTAGAGGAGGCCACAACGGGAACAGTGGATACAGTATACCACACTAGCAGATGTGCAGGTGAACATCTGATTGATGTGGAAGGTCTTCTTAGGGCCTGGGATTGGGGGGGGAGCGGGAGTTGTAGGGGCAGGAGCAGTACTTGCTCCGGTTGCAGGGAAAAGTGCTGGGGGTGGTGGGGCTGGAGGGGAGTGTGGAGCGGACAAGGGAGTCACGGAGAGAGTGGTCCCTCCGGAAAGCAGATAAGGGTGGGGAGGAAAAATGTCTTTGGTAGTGGGGTCAGATTGCAGATGGCGGAAGTGTCGGAGGATGATGCATTGGATTTGGAGGTTGGTGGGGTGGTACGTGATGACGAGGGGGATTCTGTTTTCGTTGTTATTACGGGTAGGGGGTGTGAAGGATGAGTTGCGGGAAATGAGAGACACACGGTCGAGGGCATTTTCGACCACTGTGGAGGGGAAGTTGTGGTCCTTGAAAAACGAGGACATCTGGGATGACCGGAAGTGGAATGCCTCATCTCGGGAGCAGATGCGGCAGAGGTGAAGGAATTGGGAATAGGGGATGGCCTTTTTGCAGGAAGGTGGGTGAGAGGTGGTGTATTTTAGGTAGCTGTGGGAGTCGGTAGGCTTGAAATGGATATCGGTTTCCAGGTGGATGCCAGAGATGAAGACAGAGAGGTCCAGGAAGGAGAGAGAGGTATCAGAGATGGTCCAGGTGAACTTAAGGTTGGGGTGGAAGGTGTTAGTGAAGTGGATGAACTGTTCGAGCTCCTCGTGGGAGCACGAGGCGGCGCCAATACAGTCATCGATATAACGGAGGAAGAGGTGGGGAATAGGGCCAGTCCCAACCAGTCCCCCTCCACTGACAGCCTCATCTGCTCAGCTGAACTTGTCCTTCACCCTCAACAACTTCTCTTCCAATTCCTCCCACTTCCTACAAAGGGGGTGGCCATGGGTACCCACATGGGCCCAAGCTATGCCTGCCTCTTTGCAGGTTACGTGGAACAATCCCTCTTCCAAAGCTACACTGGCCCTATCCCCCACCTCTTCCTCCGTTACATCGATGACTGTATCGGTGCTGCCTCCTGCTCCCACGAGGAGCTCGAACAGTTCATCCACTTCACTAACACCTTCCACCCCAACCTTAAGTTCACCTGGACCATCTCTGATACCTCTCTCTTCTTCCTGGGCCTCTCTGTCTTCATCTCTGTCATCCACCTGGAAACTGATATCCATTTCAAGCCTACCGACTCCCACAGCTACCTAAGATACACCACCTCTCACCCACCTTCCTGCAAAAAGGCCATCCCCTATTCCCAATTCCTTCACCTCTGCCGCATCGGCTCCCGAGATGAGGCATTCCACTCCCGGACATCCCAGATGTCTTAGTTTTTCATGGACCGCAACTTCCCCTCCACAGTGGTCGAAAATGCTTTCGACCGTGTCTCTCTCATTTCCCGCAACTCATCCCTCACCGCAATAAAAACCAACAGAGAATCCCCCTCGTCCTCACGTACCACCCCACCAACCTCCAAATCTCCCCGTGTCTGCGTGGGTTTCCTCCAGGTGCTCCAGTTTCCTTCCACAGTCCAAAGATGTGCAGGTTAGATGGATTGGCCATAATAAATTCCCCATAGCGTCCAGTGATGTGTAGGTTATATGGATTAGTCATGGGGAATGCAATCTGACCCCACTACCAAAGACATTTTTCCTTCCTCACCCTTATCTGCTTTCTGGAGGGACCACTCTCTCCGTGACTCCCTTGTCCGCTCCACACTCCCCTCTAGCCCCACCACACCCGGCACTTTTCCCTGCAACCAGAGCAAGTGCTACACCTTCCCCTACACCTCTCCCCTCACACCCATCCCAGGCCCTAAGAAGACCTTCCACATCAATCAGATGTTCACCTGCACATCTGCTAGTGTGGTATACTGTATCCACTGTTCCCGTTGTGGCCTCCTCTACATCGGGGAAACCAAGCGGAGGCTTGGGGACCACTTTGCAGAACACTTACGCTCGGTTCGCAACAAACCACTACACCTCCCAGTTGCGAACCATTTCAACTCCCCCTCCCACTCCTTGGGCGACATGTCCATCCTGGGCCTCCTGCATTGCCACAATGATGCCACCCGAAAGCTGCATTAACAGCATCTCACATTTCGCTTGGGAACCCTGCAGCCCAAGGGTATCAATGTGGGCTTCACAAGCTTCAAAATCTCCCCTCCCCCTACCGCATTCCAAAACCAGCCCAGCTCATCCCCGCCTCCCTAACCATTCCTCCCACCTTAAGCCCCACCCCCATCTCCTACCCACTAACCTCATCCCGCCTCCTTGACCTCTCCGTCCTCCCTGGATCGACCTATCCCCTCCTTAACTCCCCACCTACATTCACCTTTACTGGCTCCAACCCCACCTCTTTGACCTATCTGTCTCCTCTCCACCTATCTTCTTCTTTATCCATCTTCTATCCGCCTCCCACTCTCTCCCTATTTATTTCAGAACCCCCTTCCCCTCCCCCATTTCTGAAGAAGGGTCTTGACCCGAAATGTCAATGTTCCTGCTCCTCTGGTGTTGCTTGGCCTGCTGTGTTCATCCAGCTCTACACCTTGTTATACTAAATTTGTCTACATCACTCTCAGACAAATCTATTCCATACTACAACATAGAATACAAAAAATGTTTTTCCAATCACCATAAATCTAAGTCCTTGGCTTAGGTAATTTTTGTGCCGAAAGAAACTTTAATTCATCAAAATCTGTCATGGTTTTGCACATTGCTGTTAAAGCAATTGTTTTCTTACCATGGTCAAGGGAAATCAACAGCAGCTTCTCTAGTTTCTATGCGCAAGTTAAGTTTGGTATCCACAGTATTATATTAGTAAATCCTCAAAGATTTCCTCCTCGATAAGGTGACACAAGATAAGAGCACATGGTGTTGGGAGTAATATATTTATCGTTTAGATAAAGGATTGATGAGCTAACTGAAAGTACAGAGTGGGGATAAATGGATTTTTTTATGTTGGTAAACTGGAACTAATGGAATGCCACCGGAATCAGTGCTGGGGTTTCAACTATTTACTGTCTACTTAACAACTTGAATGAAGGAATTAAGTATATGATAGTTAAATTAGTTGGAGACACCAAGACAAGCAAGTGATGAAGATGACAAACTCTGGAAAGGGAGATAGATAATTTGAGCCAATAGCCAAAAAATGGCAGATAAAACTTTAACACGCGAAATTAGGAGTTAGTCCACTTCAACAAGAAAAACAGAAAAGCAAAACATGACTTGTTCGGTTAAATACTTCACAAATCTGTGGTACAAAGAGATATTGTTACCTTGGAACATTAATCACAAATAGTCAGTAAGCAGGTGCAGCAAGTAACTGGGAAGGCAAACAGAATATTGACCATTTAAGCAAGGGGAATTTATTTTATAGTTCATCCATAGAACACTGCTGTTACTGACTAGTCAGTATTTATAACGTAATAAGGAAGTAAAGGCAAGACTCAAAATAAGGTCCCTACAGACTCAAAGCAAGGACTTCACATTGCAGTGGGACTACTTGGAATGAAGTAAAGTCCCATGTACAGCATGGAAACAGACCCTTCAGTCCAACTTGTCCATGCCAACAAGATATCCTAAATTCTTCTAGTCCCATTTGCCAGCATTTGGCCCATATCCCTCTCAATCGTTCCTATTTGTATACCCATCCAGACACCTTTTAAATGGCATAATTGTACTAGCCTCCACGACTTCCTCTGGCAGTTCATTCCATATGCGCACCACCCTCTGTGTGAAAAAGTTGCCCCTAAGGACCCTTTTAAATATTTCATCTTAAACCGATGTCCTCTAGTTTTGGATTCCCCTACCCTGGGCAAAAGACCTTGACTATTTATCCAATCCATGTCCTTCATGATTTTGTAAACTTCTATAAAGGTCATCCCTCAGCCTCCAACGCTCTAGAGAAAATAGTCCCAGCCTATTCAGCCTCTGCCTATAGCTCAAACCCTCCATCCTTGTAAATCTTTTCTCGATGCCCTTGTACACCAGTTAATGAATGCAGACAGGCAGGTGCAATAAGCAATTAGGAAAGCAAATGGTATGTTGCCCTTCATCACATGAGGATTTAAGTTCAGTCATCAGGACATCTGACTGCAGTGGTACAGGGCCTTGGTGAGACCAAATCTGGAGTACTGCATGTAGTTTTGGTTTCCGTATGACGAGGGAGTGTAATAGAGGTTCACTGGGCTGATAGGGGATGGCAGGGTTGTCCTATGGGGAGAGATTGGCTTGACTGGTTTTTATGCACTACAGTTTTGAAGAATGAGAGGGAATATGGCTGAAATGCATTTGCAATGAAAGTGATGCGCAGATGGAATCTCTGCTAAAATACTGAAATATGGTGTAACATTGTGTTCTCTCCTTCAGCTGAATGCAAGAAAGCATGCCAGGGGGCCTGCGAGACACTGTGATTATGCCAATCTCTTGAAAAGGAAGACAGATTGTGAAAAGTGCAGAGGGTATTGCTGCTGTCCACCACAGTCATTACAAAAATCCTCCACAATCTTCTGTTCGTATCTGAAAAACTCCTCTTGGAGTCACAATGCAGATTCTTTTTATCTCAACTGCTTATATATATTTTCTTCTCTCAACTAACCCATCTGATTCCCTTTTTTTAGATCTTTTAGTTCCTATATTCAGTTTGGTTCTCGACTCTATTACGATTGATATTACAATTATCAGAAGACTCCTATTACTTGCTCTATCTTTAGTCACACAGGTTTGTATGTCCTTCCTTTTTTTCTTCATGGAAGCTGGTTTAATCTCTATCTAAATCATCTCCTTAAGGACTCCCATTGTTCAATTACTTACTTGCCTGTTAACGTTTAACTCCAAATTTAAGTAAGCTTTCTGCCAGCTCTGTATATTCGTTTTGATTGTGTCTTGTCTTTACTAGTGGCCAAATTCTAAAGTCATTCTAAGATGTGTATCAGTATTAACTACTGAATAAAAACAGCTAAACATTATTTGTAGTCCTGAAGCTCATCAGCATGGACTTTTAGAGTCCCACAGTAACACAGCATGGAAACAGGCCCTTCAGCCTAAACTGGTCCATGGTGACCCTGGTGCCTGCTCAACTAGTTCTAATTGCCTGTGTTTGATCCACATCCCTCTGAATGGTTCCCATCCATGTATCTATTGAAATTTTTAAAAAAAATCTTGCTATTGTACCTGTCTCAACCACTTTCTCTGGCAGCCCATTCATATACACATCACTTTCTGCGTGAAGGCTCTTCTTAAATCTATCCCCTCTCACTTTAAACCTATGCCCTCCAGTTTGCAATTCCCCATTCCTGGGAAAAAGACTATATGCATTCATTGTATTTATGCCCCTCATGATTTTATACATCTCAGTAAGCTCAGCCCTCATTCTCTTATGTTCCAAGGAATAAAGTCCTATTCTGGCTAACCTCTCCCAATAATTCAGGCCTACTAGTCCTGGCAACATCCTTGTAAATCTTCCTTGCACACTGTCCAGTTTAATCTATGTCTTTCTTATAACAGGGTAACCAAAACAGTACGCAATACTTCAAGTGCAGCCTCACCAACGACTTATACAACTGTAACATAACATCCCAACTCCTAGACTCAATGCCTCGACCAATGAAGGCCAGCATGCTAAACACCTTCTTCACCACCCTGTCCACCTGTGACTATGTACTTGTACCCCTAGGTTCCTCTGTTCCACAACACTCCTCAGGGCCTTACCATTTACTGTACAAGTCCTACCTTGGTTTCAACTTTCCAAAGTGAAATACCTCACACTTATCTGTATTGAAGTGCATTTGCCAAGCCTCAGCCCCAAACTTCCCCAACTAATCAAGATACCCCAGTAATTTTTGATAATCTTTCTCTCTGTCAACGATACCTTCTAATTTTGTATCATCTGCAAACTTACTAATCATGCCTTGTACATTCACATCCAGATCATTTATGTTAATAACAAATAACAAAGGTCCCAGCACCCATTCCTGTGGCACACCACTAGTCACAGGCTTCTAGTCCGAGAAACAACCTTCAATCATCATGCTCTGCTTCCTACCATCGAGCCAATTTTGAATCCAATTAGCTAGCTCTCCCTGGATCCCATGTGACCTAACCTTCATTACTAGCCTGCCATGTGGGACCTTGTCAAAGGCCTTACTGAAATCGATATAGACAACATCCCCTGCCGTACCCTCATCCACTCTCTCGGTTAGCTCTTTGAAAAACTCAAAGATTTGTCAGACATGACTTCCCACGCACAAATCCATGCTGATTATCCCCAATCAGACCTTGACTATCCAAATGTTGGTTGATCCTGTTCCTCAGTATCCACTCCAATATCTTGCCTACCACTGATGTCAGGCTCACTGGCCTATCTTTCTGAAACAATGGACAACACTAGCCACCCTCCAGAACTTCACCAGTGGCTAAAGATAGAGCAAAAGTCTCTGCATGAGCCTCTACAATTTCTTCCCTAGCCTCCCACAACGTCCGAGGATGGACTTGATCAGGTCCAGGGGATTTATCTGCCTTAATGCGATCTATGACTGCAAACACCTCTTCTCTTGTATTATGTATGCGGTACAAACATCCCCGCTTGTTTCCCTTATCATCCATGATTCTCTCCTCAATAAACACTTTAAGGGGACCTATTCTCTCCCTATCCACCCTTTTACTCTTAATATAGCTATAGAACCTCTTGGGATTATCTTTAGCTATATCAGCCAGATCCATCTCATATTCTCTTTCCGCTCTTCTGATTTCCCTCTTAAATGTGCTCCTACACTTTTTGCAATCATCTCGGGACTGACTTGAGCCCGATAGCTTAAACCTCCTTTGGGCCTCCTACATTTTCCTGACCACAACCTTATTATCCTTCGTCAGCCAGGGATCCTGGTACCACAAGAAAGAGAGTTGAAATACATTTGACTTCAGATTTAAATGACTCGACAAACACCACTCAGGATCACAGTGCTGTTATAGTGCAGGCGGCCATTTGACCCACCACGACTGCACTGGCTCTTTAAATGATCATTAGCCAATACATATCTCGTACTTTTTCCTCGACCTGTTGTACACTACTTCTATCCAAATAGTCATCCACAATGCCCTCTGAATGCATCAATTCTACCTGCTTCTAGCACATTTCCAGGCAGTGAAGTCTAGATCTTAACTACTCGCTGTGTGAAAAGGTTTTTCTCACATCACCCTTGCTTCTTTTGCATATGACTTTAAATCTACGCCTTCTCATTCTTATTCCTTTTACGACTCTCCCTGTCTACTGCATCCATCCCGCTCGTGATTTTGAAAACCTCTAGCAAATAGTTTTCAAACGTTTTTTCATTCACAGGATGCAGGAGCCGCTGGCTGGACCAGCGACTATTGCCCATCTCCTCCTAGCTGCCTTTTCTCTAAGGAGAACAGTCCTGACTTCAATCTATCCTCATAATTGAAGTTCCTCATTTCTGAAAACATTTTTGTAAATTGTTTCTGCACTCTTTGCAATGCATTCACACCTTTTCTATAATGCACACACACTGTTTCTCACTGTTGGGCAATGATAAGGGGTTAGTTGAGTGGTTAAATTCTAGCACCATTTCTGAGCACACCTCAGTGTCCCTAAATTTCAGAGTAATATCCACCCAAGTGTACTTGAATTTTGGTCAAGACAATGTCACTACCAACTGTTTACTTTAAGCATCCATAATCTACATATATAGCTCAGTAATTTGCACAGAGATCTAATTACACAAGTGAGTTTTATGTTAAACACACGAGGGAAAAAATGCCAACATATTATAATGCACAACAGCACACAGCTGCAGCCCAAACTGCAAACTCAGTGTTTTTCACTGTACCAGGCACATACCTGTTTAGTATTTACCCTGAAAGGGTCACATGATTGGCAAACATCCGACTAAATGATTCAAAACCCAGTTGAAAAGGAAGAACATTTCTTGGAGATGGTGGAATCCCTGTGACAGCAAGCTATTCAGGGTATTTTTTTGTAAAAATAGTGTTGTACATTGTGGTACTTCCACCACCACCCAGTGGAGATCCCCAGTGACTCCACTTCCACAAAAGGAAGTAGTGACTGAAATCATGTTAAAAACCATATACATAAATTAAACTACATCTTTGCACCTTTATGCAGTTTCTCTTCCCTTCCATTATGCAGTTTCTCTTCCCTTCCAAGAGAGTTACAATTGATGCACAATTTACCTTCAGTTAGTTCTGCTGAAAGCTCTCGCTGTCGTTTCTTGTTCAGGAATTTTTCCTGTACTGGCGTACTCTCCAGTTTAGACACTGATAGTAAATCGTCGAAGTGCTGTTTAAATGGCTTCTCCGTACGATTCTTATTGTGAGCATATTCTGCAATAAATCATAAGTGCTTGATTCAATATGCATGTACTTGCACCAGTTTTGATACTCGTGTCCATCTCCTGAACACTAAGTTAGTTGATACAAACAAAAGTTGAACCAAAGGACACAGTTAATATCTGGAACTTTAGAGGGACAATGGGCAGCAAATGAACTGAATCTGAGCTTTCAATACTAAAAAAACTTTAAACATTTAAACAACTTCCATTCACACAGCACTTTTAATGTAGCAATGAATCATATAAAAATGCTCTAAAGGAGCAATTGAGAATCTAAATCTGACATCAAGCCAGACAAGAGATATTCGGACAGGTGACTAAAAATTTGGTCAAAGGAGTCGGTTTTAAGAAAGAACTTAAAGAGGAAAGGGATACAGGCTTAGACAGAAGTGGGAAATCTACAGCTTAGGGTTTTGGCAGTCACCAATGGTGAAGTGACTAAACATGGCAATGTACAAAGACGCCACAATTTGGGGAATGCATGTGTCTTGGAAATTTATAGGTCTGGAAGACACTGCACTGAAACAGTGACACCACAGATGGACGTGAATACAAGAATGATCATGTCAAATCTGAGGTTACTGACTGATAAGAGTGTTAATATAAAGCAGCAAGTACAGGGGCAATCAATAAATTGAACCTGGTGAAAATTACAATCTAGGCAATATAGCTTTGGATCAAGTTTAAAGGTGAAATACCAAAGATGAATAAGGAGCTTTTACCACCGTCAAGGGTCCACCTCTGTAAAATGATAATGCATAGAAGTGATAAAGATGATAAAACAGCAGCAGTCAATTAATTCAGTCAACATCTGAAACATGGGATAATGTTCAATTCTGCCCTAGGCTCACTCCTGGTATTAGTATTTTGCCATTTTGTTTGAACTATATAGTTCAATGCTGTCAGTAGGCTCCAGTGTTACAGAAATACCCAACATAACACCCAATGCTAAGTAATGCAGAATGGAGCGCCATTCACCTATTATTACTGGCCTAATTCTTTGCAAGAGACACATAATCAGATGGTCATCCCTTTCCTTACAGCCCTGTACATTTTCTTTTTCAGTCATATCTCCATTTGTCTTTTGTAAGGCACTACTGAATCTGTTCCAAATATTTTCTGGCTGTTGATTGAAGATCACAAACTCATATGAGGCAAAATCAAAAATGCTTTAATGATGCAACTGATTCCTTACCACTCACCCTTTTTCTGCTGCATCAAGTTACATGGAGAAAACAAAACTAAAGTATCTTAGCATTCCATTCTTCCAAAAGATGCAATGCTGCTGAAATAGAACTCAGGTGAAAAATCACAAGATAAAATCACAATGGCTAGAACACTGACCAAGGCCACTTAGCCCTGATAATGCGGCTTAGCTCAACAACGTCTCTTTAAATAATTATCCAATTACTTTTGAAATGAAAACTGAATCTGCTTCCTAGGTCAGTGCATACCAAGTTCAAACAGCTTGCTGTGCAATCAAGGAGTTTTCTTTTGTTATTGTTCCTTTTGCTAAATCACTTCCGTGTCCCCTGGTTCTCAATGTTCTAGTAAATTCTGTATTTTAAAAATATTCATTGTTGACACCTCCATAATTTTATTTTTATTTTTCTCATTTATGATGTGGAAATGCCGGTGTTGGACTTCACCTGATGAAGGAGCAGCACTCCAAAAGCTTGTGATTTCAAATAAGGCTGTTCGACTATAACCCTGGTGTCGTGCGACTTCTGACTTTCTCATTTATGGTTGGGACTCTGAGCTGTAAACTGAAGGTAACTTTGTTTTTGAAAAAAAGAGAAAAAATGTAAGCAACAAACAACCTGATATTTAGTTATGGGACCTGGCCTACGAGGCCTATAAATGTTTCAGCTCTGGTCAAAGGCTGGCAGATATTTGGATGTTAAAAGGAGCCATCACAGAAAAATTGGCACCGGCCTCCTAACAAGGAGAATATTGGAAAATCTTAAATAGAAACTAGTTTGAACTGATTTGAGCCATGTTTTTAGGTAGAAAAGCTATGGCTGTGAAAGCTGCAGGAAGGACTTGTGATTGTCCTTTAGGTCTCCTGCCGTTATCGACTTGCAACACAAGTTTGGAGCACAGAATTTCAGTTTAACAAATAAGTGAATATTCCTTACAGCCTATTGGAAGCTGTTTGCATTGAGCTGCATCTTCAGAAAGCAAGGAAAACACAATCTCATGTGCATGTTGAAGGTGATTAAATGAACTGGCCAATTACATCTTATTTTCTGTTTAATTTATCCCTCAAATGTGTACGTCTATTTACGAGATGGTAGAAGCTATCTTCAAAGAAGACAGGAGTTTAAATCATAAATATTAATTAGATTTTCTTGTTTAATTTTGTTCTGCTGAAGTAACAGTATTAATAAATTCTTGTTTTTTGTTTGAGCTATAAACCTGCTGTCTGGTATCTGCTATTCTTCAAAGATAGCAAGAACTGCAGATGCTGAAGTCAGAGACAACACAGTGTGGAACTGGAGGAACACAGCAGGCCAGGCAGCATCAGAGGAGTCGGTGAGTTGATGTTTCTGATCGGGACCCTTCTTCAGAAATGGGGAAGGGGAAGGGAGCTGGGAAAGAGAGAGGGGAGGGGTAGGGTAGGGAAGGTAGGTGGGATGGTGATAGGTGCGTGCACATAGGGAGTGGTGCATACTGGTCAGTGGAATGGGTGGGTGAGAAGATGAACAGGTTGTGTCAGGTCAAGGAGGCAGAGATGAGAGGGAGGCTTGGACATGGGATGAGGCCGGGAGATTTTAAAACTGGTGAATTCCATGTTTAGGAGGCCCTCCAGTCTCATAATGACACCAACCACGAACTGGGGGTGCAGCACCTTACAGTGTCATAATGACACCAACCACGAACTGGGGGTGCAGCACCTTATATTCCACCTCAAGAGCCGGTAGCCCGATGACCTAAACATGGAATTCACCAGTTTTAAAACCTCCCTACCCCCAGCCTCATCCTATGTCTCTCTCAACTATTCTAGCGTTTTCAATAATTTGTGCACAGAAATTCCCAAGTTCCTTTGCTACTGCACTAGCTTCAAAATTGTAGCAGTTGTTTTAAAGAAACAAAATACTGCCAATGTTGGTGATGTGAAATAAAAACAAAGTTCTGGAAATACACAGCAGATTTGTCAGCATCTGAGACTGAGAAACAGAGTTACATTGTTGAGTCCAATATTATTCTTATTCAGAACTTAATTTCATATTGTCTTTGTTCTTCCTCCTATAATACTACACACACTTCTTTGCAAATCTCTTCTGTCACAAGTCCACCCATTCCACCAGACTATGCTACCATGAAATCCAACTTTAGTACTGTTTAAAATACTTCAAAATTGTGCAACCTGCAAATTTTAAAATTGTATCAAATTTCAGTCATTAACACAAATCAAGAAATACAGACCTCCAAGGCATGCCACAGCATACATTCATCCAGGATGAAAAACAATTATTCACCACTAGTCCCTCTTTCTCATCACATCAATAAACATTTTATCCATGCTGTCCCAGTCTCTCTTATTCCATTGGATTTAACTTAGCTGAAAGGCCTGTTCTGTCACGTTAACAAATGCCTTTTGGAATTTCATATACAACGTAACAACTGCATTACCTTCACTAAAGCCGTCACCTCAAAAAAAAAACTCCAGCATTTAGTCAAACATAATTTGCCTTAATCAAATTGATGCTGATTTTCCTCAATTAATCCAAATTTGACCAAGCCACTGAGAATTTTGTTCTAGGCCATCATTTCTAAAAGATCTCCTCCCACTAACATTAAATTGACTGAACTGTTTAGTCTTCTTGTGAACAAATGTGCAACATGTATAATGCTTCAGTCCTCTGGCAGTACCTCAATAAAGGCGATCAAAAAATTATGATATGCACCTTCTCAATTTCCACCCTCACTTCCATCAGTATCCTCCAATGAAAATGCAGTTAACTATCGCCTTGAACTACAGCCAGTCTAACATCTCCTTTTATCAATTTTTAGCCTAATCAACATCTCAGCTTGAACTACAATCTTTTCCCCTAATAAATACAGGTGTGAGATTTAATTTAGGACCTCAGCTATGCTCCCTGCTTCCAAGTATATATCCCATTGTTGGTCCTTAATAAAGCTCCGGGCTTTTCTGTAGTCTAGCTTATTATTTATTTTATGCTAATGGAAGACTACTGGATTTCCATGCATGTTGGCTGCCAGACTTTTCATACTCTCTGCTTCCTTTTTCCATTTCCCCCCAAATTTTCTATATCCAGTTTTGATTCTCTGATACAAGCAACTTGACATCTGTAAACATAGTCTTTTCTGCTTAACCCTCTCTTGTCTCATTCAGAGAGTCAGAACTTTATCTCAACTGTACCAAACGATCTCCTCTTTAAAGATAGCCTTTGTTGATTATCTGCCTGTCAATCTTTGATTTTGATTTGCTTGGGTCAGATCCCTTCTCACCCAAGTGGTCCTCTGCAAGTTGATTATTTTTATTCTCATCCTTTTCCCCAACCGACCTAAACCTAATGACATTAGTCCCTCAGTATTTACCAATTAGAGCCATTTGACCCATCTCATTCTCCAGAACTGATTGGAAGCACACTGTGAATAGACTTGCAAAACTCTTCTCTCCCTATCTCTGCCTTGTATATTATGGAATCACGGAATTGTTATCTGGCTGAAGTAGGCTATTAGGCCCATTCTGACTGCATTGGATCTGAGCATTTTAATTTAGAGTCATTTTGCTGCCTTTCCCCTGCAACCCTTCACAATGGATGATTACTTAAGTGGAAACAATGCCATCTTATATTCCTTAATTGGACCTGCCTCCGTCACACTTCTAGGAAGTGAATTCCATACCCTAACTACACAACGTGCAAAACAAAGCTTTTTTCTCAGCTTGTGTTTGCTTCTTTATAAAACATTTTAAAATCTTGTCCTCTGGTTCTCGATCCATTTATGAAGGGGAAACATTTTTCCTTATCTATTCTGTACAGACTCAATATTTTGAAAACTTTTATCAAATCTGCCATGAAATTCTTTGTATTTCATGTTAGGTGAGAAGTGTTAATGATTGTAATGTACATTTACTCCATTTATGAAACATCAAGAAACAGGGAATATCATAGCATTGTAGTTTTACTTTTGGACTGGTAGAGATAAAAGGACAAATTCCATCATGGAACTGAAGTTCAGGCAAATCAACCAGGGGTGAAGAAAGCTAGCAGTCACGAAACTAGTAGTAAGTCATAAAAAGACCATCTACTTCTGAGGTCTTTTGTAGGAAAGGAAATCCGCTGTCCTTAGCTATGTTAGCTGATGTCTAACTCCAGATTACTACGAAGTTGTTGATTCAACCCTCTAAATTCAGGTTTACAGAGATGAACAATAAATACTGACCTTGCTAGGGAGACCCACATCCGACAAGCAAAAAAGAAATGTCATAAGCGGGCACATACACAATGCTGGCCCTGATACTTACTGTCTGAGCTGATTACTGAGTTGGTCAGTTTTTGCCGTGCTCTGCGGGATGGATCTGGCAAATTGGCCGTTAATAAGCCTTTGTGTTTCAGCGAGAGCTTCTTGGAGGTTTTGTTCTTGTCCAGTGACTTATTTTGCCAATGACCTTTTAGAACAGGTTGGAAGTGCATGCTCAGTGGAATGTCTGAGGGAAGAAACAAAGCAACATTTACACTTTCCAATACTCACCATCAACAATTAATTGGAAATTCCACTATAAAGTTACGCTGTCCAATAGAGGGAAGAATAACCAGATAACCAGATAATTACTATTTGCCTCTAAAAAGCTACAATTAGAATTTCTAACCACTGGAAAGTGCATCTGTCTTGTGTATGGATCATTTCCCCATTAGGAGGGCTAAAATAATGATCATTTATCGAACTGTGACTACCCATCTAAAATTTGATAACCATCATAAAAGGATATTCAAGTTTATTAGTATCAACTGAAACAATGTGCCAGAAATACAGGACATAATCTAAACTGTACATGCTTCTAAACCTAGCTGAGAATAGAACAAGAATCAACAGCTTACAATAATAGCCAGAATTGATAACATGGATAGAAACACATTGGTGAGACTTGGTGTTGTGAGCTGTCATGTAGGCTATGAAGATGAAAAAGAGAGTGAAAACAAGCAGTTTTAGGCTAATTAGTCCAACATTAGTGGTCAGGAAAATGCTGGAAATGAATAGGGAAGTGATGCAAGCACTTAGAAAACTGTAATATGACCATGTGCAGCCAAAGTTTTGTGAAAGTAAAATCATGTTTGATGAGATAGTAGGAACTGCAGATGCTGGAGAATCTGAGACAACAAGGTGTAGAGCTGGATGAACACAGCAGGCCAAGCAGCATCATAGGAGCAGGAAAGTTGACGTTTCGGGTCTAGACCCTTCTTCTGCTGTGTTCATCCAGCTCTACACCTTGTTATCTCATGTTTGATGAATCTTGTTTGAATTTTCTTGAAGCAAAACAAGTGCAGTAAATAAAAGTATGATGTATTTGGATTTCAAGAGGTATTTGATAAGGTGTCACACAAAGTTGTGCACAAAACTAGGGCTCATAGGTTCAATATAATGCATCAGCATGGACAGACAATTGTCTTAAGTCCAGAAAACAGAGGCAGGAAAAAAGCCATTTTAGGTTGGTAGGCTGTCAGTGGTTGCGTGCTTAGAAGATCAGCGGTCAGTCTCAGATTTTTACAACTGACATTCATGTTTTAGATGAAGAAAACTAGTTTAATGCATCCACATTTGCTGATCATAAAAGAAAACTGGAGAAGGAAATGAACTGTCAGGAATGTACAAAGATGCTGCAAAGGGCCATAGGTTAAGTGAAAAACAAAAGTTTTACACATCCATATCACAGTTTTCGTGGCTACCTGACGTATCCAAGTACTTTGGAGCCAATGAGGCTTCTTTTGCAGCACAGTCAACCATGGTCATGAAGGAATGGCTGCAGTAAGTTTGCATGTCGAAAACCACAAACAGCAACACGATAATGACCAAGTAGAGGAAGGGAATGGATGCCTTAATCTCTTACCAAAAAACGAATTTGATTGGTATTTCATATTTAACTATAATTTATTCTTTAAGTTCAAATTTCATTGAGGCTTAAGCAGGTTTATACAAGCTCTCCCTTTTTGAGAACAGCTAAGCTAATTAACAAAGCCAGCATCATTTTTCTTTTTGTACCTGAGGCAGAAACAGAAGCATCTTTGTTCAACTTTGAGCAGAGGACAGGGAATTTGGTGAGTAACGGAGTTAGGAGGAAGAGGGGAATAAAGAGGTACTCTTTCACCTTTTCTAATTTGTTCATCCTAGAGGAATTGTTCCTTAACCTACTTCAGGAAAAGATGAGATAGTAAGAACTGCCAATGCTGGAGTCAGAGATAATAGTGTGGAGCTGGAGGAACACAGTAGGTCAGGCAGCATCAGAGGAGCAGGAAAGTTGACGTTTTGGGTCGGGACCCCATTTCTGAAGAAGGGTCCTGACCCGAAACGTCAACTGTCCTATTCCTCCGATGCTGCCTGGCCTGCTGTATTCCTCCAGCACCACACTGAATTACCTCAGGAAAAAGATGATAGCTGTTTAGTGAGTATCTGCTAAGTGGTTAACATCTGCAGACCCAATTCAGCAGCTATGTCCTTTAGGATTTGACCAGTTTGGTCAGTAGTGATGCTGCCAAGCCACTCCATGATAGACACCGAAGTCCTACCCCCAGAGTAATTTCTGCACGTACCTTCAGAGTTCCCTCCAAATAGTGTCAGCATAAAAGTGTATGGATTCATGAGATGAGGATGACAGTATTTGGTAATCCGTTGGAGATTTGCTTGCCTATGATTTAGCTGATGCCATGAAATTTAACGGTGTCTGGAGTCAATGTTGAGGACTCCGAGAGCAACTCCCTCTGGACAAGATGCCACCATGCAGCCATCTTTGCCAAGTGTGTCTTGCTGGCGGGCTGAGCCATCTCCAGGAGTGGTTACATTCTCATCTGGAATATTGTGTGTAAGTGAAAATTCTGAGCGTATGATTGGTCAAGCAACAGCCTGATGTAATCTGTGTGACAGCTCTTTCAATTTTGGCACTAGCCCCCAAATGGTGGTAAGGAGGAATTTACAGGGTTGATGAGCTGAGTTTGCTGTTGTTGTTGGGTGCCTTATTTGATGCCAGGTGATCTGTTCAGTTTTATTCCTTTCCTTAGGCTTTGCAGCTGCTGAAACAACCGAACGGTTCTCTAAATTATTTCAGAGGGCAGTTAAGAGTCACCCACATTGCTGTAGGTCTGGAATCACATGCAGACTAGACCAGGCATGGATGGCGGTTTTCTTCTGTAAAAGGACATTAGTGAACTGGATGTGGCTTTTATGACAAGCAACAATATTTTCATGGCTGTGATAAGACTTTGATTCCAGATTTTATTGAATTCGAATTCCACCATCTGTTGTGGTGAGATTCAAATCCCAACCATCAAAACATTACACTGGTCTCTGAATTATTCGTCCAGCAACAATACCACTAGGCCATTCACCCCTTCCACCTCAATAAAAAACATAAATGATAAAAACCTATTGATTTCTTGCTTTCAGAGATATTTGGGTCTTCGTAAAAGGAATACGGGAAACTAATACATGACTACAAGTAATTAGAATAGAAAATCAGCATTGATCTTTATTGCAAAGGGTTTGAAGCACAAAAGTAAGGAAGTGTTCACAGCAAATTTACATTGCTTTGGAAAGACCAAACCCACAATAATGTGCACAGTTCTGGCCTCTGTACTTACAGAAGAATACACTTGCCTTAGAGACAATGCAATTGAGATTTACTGGATTGCTGACTGGGATGGGAGGACAATTAAATATAATGTCCTAAACTCTGATGTTTCGAAGAATGAGGGTGATGTAATTGAAATCTAAGATTTTGAGAGACTATAGAACAAGGAATCAAAAGCAAAACAGCTGAACATCGAAAAAATATGCAAAAAATGTTGGAAACATTCAGCAGGTTAGGCAGGACTTGTGAAGAGAAAGAGAATTAAACATTTCAGATCCATCATGATGCCAGAATAAGGAATCACAGGCCCAGGACAAGGGCGTGACAATTCAGGATCGAGATGCGAAAAAAATTTCTAGACTCAGAGGATTGCAAATCTTTAGAATCCTGTACCTCAGAGCGCTGCTCAGTCATTTTGTATATTCAAGATTGAGACTGATAAAATGGGAGTGAAAATGGAGCTGACAGATGAAGATAACCGGTAATATTTTTCAATGATAAATCAGGTTTCAGTATCTAATGACCTATTATTTCTTGCGATCTTAAATGAGTAGTACTACAACAAAATTATAAAAATGCCCAAATTGGTAAGTGTCCAATACCTTGATGTGTGAAGGGTCAGCAAAGTCAAGGTCTTTTTGCAAATCTAGAAGAACGTTTTACGGACCAGAACTAAACTCCTTAGAATAGATCAAGGAAATAGCCTATACCCTAACTTCCGTTCTGAGGAAGGGTCACCGGACCTGAAACGTTAACTCTTTTTTCACCTCACAGATGCTGCCAGACCTGCTGAGCTTTTCCATCAACTTTGTTTTTGACCCTAACTTTTACCTTATTTAAAGGCAAGTGTACGGTGCTGCGGTCCAGGTGTGATTCAGTTGGTTAAACTACTAGACTTTAAGCAAAACATACTTTATTCTTACACCACAGTTAAGATACAAACGAGAAAAAGAACTGGCATAACTTTAACTTGAAATATTTACAAAATGGTATATTATTTAACTACTGTTCCAATACAGCAGCATCCCATAAACACACTCTTCCCTTGCTTGCTATCTCCAATTCAGGAAAAGGGACACCGACAGAATGAATCTAGTAGAGACAGAACTCAAGCTTTCTGCAGCAGCGCAGCAAGACAGCGCGAGAGAGATGTATTTAGCGTCTTCCCCAACCTCAGCAACTGAAAGCAAAACTAAAACCCTGGGTCTGTGAAAGCCTGACATGCTTTTTGTCTAATTTTACAAAAACCAAAGCGATTGACTCTGCTTGATGGGGAGACATCTCGTCACCAGGCCGACAACAACCCTCAAGAGAAACAGGACAAAACACATCCCTCTTAAGGCACAGAGATAGTAGGAACTGCAGATGCTGGAGAATCCGAGACAACAAGGTGCAGGGCTGGATGAACACAGCAGGCCAAGCAGCATCATAGGAGCAGAAAGGCTGACGTTTCGGGACTAGACCCTTCATCAGAAAAGGGGGAGGGGAAGGGGGTTCTGAAATAAATAGGGAGAGAGTGGGAGGCGGATAGAAGATGGACAGAGGAGAGGATAGGTGGAGAGAAGACAGACAGGTCAAAGAGGCGGGGATGGAGCCAGTAAAGGTGAGTGTAGGTGGGGAGTTAGGGAGGGGATAGGTCAATCCAGGGAGGACGGACAGGTCAAGGGGGCGGGATGAGGTTAGTAGGTAGGAGATGGGGGTGCGGCTTGAGGTGGGAGGAGGGGATAGGTGGGAGGAAGAACAGGTTAGGGAGGCGGGGACGAGCTGGACTGGTTTTGGGATGCGGTAAGGGGAGGGGAGATTTTGAAGCTTGTGAAATCCACATTGATATCATTGGGCTGCAGGGTTCCCAAGCAAGATATGAGTTG